TTAAATGGCAGAACGATGAGTTTACTAGCAAAGTTTTCAGTATACTGGATCAGTAGTTTTTGATATTCACCCAGAAAGAAAAATAGTAAAGGGTAGTATTCATCCCACAAAGGAGAAATAAAGCAGTAATACAGCACTCATGAACTATTTATTGATCTCATGATCTCTTTTTCATATATCATAGTCATTGCTTACTGAGAATCATCAAAGAATATTATCTACGATACCACACACATGCCAGCAACCTAGATAGAATCAGCTGAATCAATAAGAAGAGTCCTGTCAGGTACTGTGGTCTAAACATCCAGGCCCTTAGACAGGTCAGCAGGGCAGACTCTTCTCTTGGTGGTAAATCTCCAATCCATTAACTTCTAGTGGCAACAGTGTCTACACATGTTTTCTCCATTATGATTCTATATTCATATTAGCATGTAAACATCTGTCTCTCTGCAGCCCCAAAGGCTGCACCCCATTCTGCTAAGGCCATTATAAATATATGCAGAATGACAAAATCTTCCCCAAAGAACTCCGTCTCTAGGGCTTGTCTCTAAATGCTGATCCTCTCTCTTGCTCGCCTGATGACAAAGAGAGAGAGAAATCATACACTGGACAGAATTATCCCCTATGGAACATTTTGTTCTGTATGGTGGAAATTTCACTGTAACATGGGACCAACAAAATCCCTGACCATTGATTCCTTTTCTCTCCTCTGAGTATCAGAAACAGGGAAGGGAAGCTGCATGTCATAGGCTACATGCTTCTTATTTGTCTTAGCTGCTGGAGGAGGCAGGCAATTAGAGTGGAATTTCGGGTATAATTTCATGTTAGACCTAATCCAGTGTAGCTGCAGGCTCTTGCTGAGAGTGACAGCCCAGCTCTCCGCTCTCTCTAACTGCTCCAGCTGTAAAGTGCCTTGCATTCTTTCTCTTGCACTGGACTGAGTTGCACTATCTCCTGACTGTGGATCAAATAAATCCAAACCCATCAATCTTATGTAAAATTGGTGTGGACTGATGAAAGAGCGTGGGAGGGAGGCAGTGGTAATGAGAAAAAAAGTCACCAGAATGCTGCTTGTGTGAACTTACCTGGCAGTCTCATTGTCTCACTCCCATCCAATTGGTGCAACAGAAATGGAAGGCTGTTGGCTGGAAGCAAGCAGAACAGCAGGATAGTTTAGATAGAGTCCTCTCAGGAGCCACTTACAGCAACAGCAGAGAAAGGAGGAAGTGTAACATCAGCCTTTAATTTATGCTGTTGGGGGGGGCAGAGCAGCGTATGGCCTTTGCTGCCCTGACAACTGCATTCACTAGACAGCAGGTAGTTTTAAGGGAGCATTAAAACACTCGTGGCCCCAACCCTCATACAACAAGGAGAGAATGCAGTTGTTGAAAGTTGTAGTCTCTTATTTCACTCTTGCTCACTCTCAGTCTGCAAGATCACGAGTCCCTTCAGGTTCCATTGAATTCAGCAGAAGGTAATGACAGTCATAGAATTGGGAATTTAAAGCTTTAAATCTTGCTCATACTATAAAATACTCTACTTGTAACCAAATATACTTGACATTATTGGGAATTATGTAAATAAAACCAAAACCACCTGCCAGACAGTTTTTATACTGGGGAAACAGAGTCTCAATTTCCAATGGCATTTTAAAATTTATGTCATTTAATAGAACAATAAATGTATATTTTCCAGTTTTGTCATTATGAGGCTTAAAGGCAGTTTCATGTGTGGCACCTACTTGCATTTAACTCCTGGATTTATTACAACGAACATCACTTTAAAACTACACATTCATATTTTCAAAGGAAAATGAATAGTTAATGGTTTCAGAATTATTATTCTTTTCCACACAATCTCATAAAAATTTCCCAATGAAAAAGCTAATAGACCAATGGCGAGACACTTACATATGCAAATATGTTTCAGTGAAAGAGTTAAAGTGCTTTATAATATAAATTTGCTTTCAGTGCCAATATAATTAGGTTGTAACAAGCAAACCCCTGCAACATAACACAGTGAAAATTTGAAAATTTGATTCTGCCTGGCAAACAACCAAGTCCCTGCGTGTGCACAAACCTGACATTAATAAGCTACAAGAGATTACATGATTTAGAAAAGAAGCACTTGGTGTTACAAAATCAAATAATAGATCTCTAGGCTATAATTAGGAGAATTGGGATTCAACAATGAAGTCATAATAATGTAATTTAGCTGTAAGTAACAGAGCCATGGAGTCACATTAGGAGGTGTGATCACATCTTTCAGCAAAGCTCGGCTGTGTAGACTTATTGCTGTTCAGTTTAGTCTAGTACACAGCAACCTGTTGGCACGAAGCTCAGGCTGACAGCCTCTTGTTCTCTAGGGGCAGTATGGCAAAGTGCCACCCGTGCATTTTTATTTCAGTCTTGTGACTTTTAAGTCAAAACAATAAAATTATATATACTGAGCACAGAGTTGCCTGTGAATATTTGGATAAATTACTGCACAGCGTGGGTTTAGAGGCCATTTAACAACAAATATATGTATAAAAAGAGGAGAGAAAAAAAAAGAAAAACAGCTGAAGCAGGGTTTTAGGTTTCTAGTAGGCTTTGCGAACACGTTGTGTTCAGCTACATGTAATATTCCATTTCTGTTGTAAAGGTAAAGGAGAAAGTATCTCCAGATCTGCACTATATGATAACTGTAGGTGTGAGCCTGCTTTCCACGAGTCTTTCACACTAATATGATATGTTTGTTTGGCACATTGAGCTCAAAATGTAGGTGCTGTGCAGGCACTTCATTCTGTTAGCAAATGCCTGGTGTGGGATGCAGCTCAGCAGCACTGCAGCACAGCAGTGCCCTGCAGCCCTATGCACAGCAGCAAGGAGCCCCAGGCAAGCAGCACGCCAGTGCTCACGTGGCTGCTGACAGCACTTCAAACTCAACACTGCAATTTTTGTGAAAGTTGCCATTTGATTCAAGCCGTTGTAGAATGGTACATCATACCAACAGCCCTTCTTCTCTGCCTGTGTATTACCCAGCCACAGCTCCGCCTTTGGGCTGTTATTAATTTAAGCTTTTTTTGTAAATTTTGGCCACAATTGTTTCTTCATCATTCACTTGTCATAACTAATAAAACAGATATACCACATTCATTTGGTGAGTACCTCCTTCGGGAGCTGGTGGCTTAGTTACAAGTGAAATGTACCTATTCCACTGTTCATTAGCTGATTCTTTTCCTGTGTCCCTGCATTCTTCACCGCTATCTAACAGTCCTGGGGCTGAACCACAGAACCCTCTGTCCCTCCTTTTCCCTGCAGGCTTCCTAGAGGTGGCTGAGCTAAGCCTAGCTCACTGAGCCCCCAGCAGCCCTAAGCTGCCTTTTGTGTCCAGATTCAAGATCTGATTTCCCTTCACAAAGCACACATGCAAAGACTTAGCTGGTCACCAGGTTCTCAAGTGCAAAAAATACTTTAGAACGTGTGGGAAAGGATGAGGGGGAATTGCTATGTTTCTTTTTCTTTTTGCAGCCTACTAGACAGATGGGAGAGATAGGCATCAACTCTGCATCTGGACTGCCTGAAAATTCAAATGAGTTTGGATAGAACTTTGGAATGGGTTGTTCCATTCTTGTTACAGCTTCACTAGGTGAGTCTGGTGGTTCAACAACATTCCCATCTTTGGGGGAAATGTGAAATCTGCTTTCATTTACTCTTTAGTGCAAAATTAAATAAACTTAATGCATTCTTTAAGGCAAACAAAAAAGGTTTCTTCCACCTGTTGCTTTTGTTAGGTCCATTTTGTTTTTATTTGCAGTTTCTCCCAATTACTGTTTATTTTATTAGTTCTTTATGGTTCTGCCTTTTCTTTTTTTTCTATTTTGATGACATTTTGATTTGTTTCAAACTGCCCTTTATTTTCATTTTCTTTCCAAGCATGGTGATTTACGTTCGTTTCTTCTATTTCTTTTATGCCTTAAATGATCTGTTTGTTTTATTTCCTTTATTTGCATAGCACTTACTTTTCATGACCTTTTTGTTGCTGCAGCTGCTGCTGCTTCTGGACTGCTGGTGTTTTCTCCTCCTTTGTAAGTGGGAAACGGAGAGAAAGCAAACCAAATCCCTATGAAGGCAAGCATCCAAACACAAAATCTTTTCTGATATTTATTTATTTATATTAATCTGCAGTGTGATTGAAAGGTATTGGGATTTCTCAAAGTACAAAACCTGAATATTTTCCTTCTTTTTACAGAGATGTGTTACAGCAACTCTTTGTATTCCTATCTAAAGATCATAGCTGAGCAGCCCTCTTTAGGGTGTTTTAATTCTTCAATAGCTCTTCTACAAGCAAAGATATTTATAGTAGAGGTAAACATGAGGACAGTTGTGGAGGTGTTTCTTGAGGCTCTCAGTCACTGATGGTGCTGACAACTTGGAGTTTTTGCTGCTGGTGTGAAATTCTGAATGGATGTTTAAAAATTAATATTCTTAAACAAAGTAAAATTTCCTGTAGCAAAGGTTACAGAATATTTATACTTAATGATTGCTGTAAGAGTGTGATCCCCAGCAGGGGTCTGTGAGTCTGCCAACAGGCATATAGATATATGTATATTTATTTATACACACACCCACATATGTATGTAGACAAAAATTACAGTGTTTTTCATTTGCTATACCATTATCATAACTGCATTGTTGCAGTTATCTAGTGTATGGGTATATACATCTAGTGTCCATTTATATTACACATTGTTAGCTTAATGAAGAAAGATGATACTAACTAAAGATTAACTAGACATAATGTAGAGTTTATAATCTCTCTTTTGTATTCAGTTTAAATTTATTCTACAAAAGCTGATGTTCATTTAAAGTATTATTATTTCTAAACTTGATTCTGTGATTCACAGTAGAAAAAATAACTGGCCTTTAAATCTGATGTTATTTAGGAAAAAAAAAAAAAAAAAAAAAAAAAAAAACGATCTATGATATATTTAAATTGGTTCCTCATTTTCTGGTGTTCTGTCGCAAATTGGTGTTTTGCCAGAAAAACAAGAGTATATATCCAATCAGCATCTTTTATTTTCATGCTTGGTGGTTTGCACTGATCTGTGGACTGAAGTCTGCATTAAGGTATGGTTTTTGGATACTTTCCTTTCTTGGAAAGTTTCTTGTTGCTCCTTCCATCATTGATGTTTGCACCATTTTATATATGTATGTGCTAAACGTATACATTTACATATACAGACACGTGCGCACACCTATAATGAGCTGAAGCCAGGACAGCTTGTGTCTCAACTTGTCTGCAAGTTATGCACATTCTAGGGAATGAAACTTGAATAATGTTCAAAGAGAAAGCGTGTGAGTTAGCCCAAGGGCAGAAGGCAGTCATGTGCAACAGGTTACATGATTTTACATAATTTTGGTGCAGAGGGTGAAAAAAAAAAGAACCCCATGTCAATATTACAGGAAATATTTTAGAATACATTTAGAATACAAACAGAATGTTTGTCCTCACTGATTCGCGCACGTACTTCAGTACAGTGCATTGTTTTCACCATGCCAGAATCTTTTTCCTACCTTCCCTTAAAATAATTTATCACAAAAGGAAAATAAAATGAGAACAGTTTTTGTAGCCATTGCTAGCTTTGCTGCTTACTTCATTTCATGGTTGGCATAGGTAGGCTTGAGAAAGTGGTTTGGAGACAGGTTACTGGAACAGCCTTGCTTTTTCTCATGTGGCCATATGGCAACCTAGAGTGCTGCTGCATCTTCAATCCCAGTCCCAGTTCAGGGCTAGATACTTCCTTCAGATTCTGTGCTGATTTTCTGAGCCCTGAGCACTCATCAGTATGGTCCAAGCACAGCAAGATCTTCAACACTTGGTTCCAGAGCTACTGCTCCTCAGAAATAAGTCTACAGGATCAAAAAATAGACTACAAATTGGAAGTGGGAAACAGAATTTGGGTTGAACACTCAGAAGCTCTAAATAAGACGTGATTTCTGCATTCTTTTCTCTGTAGAACCTCTGTTAAGAAAGTTAAAAAAAAAAATCAAGCTTGAAAGAACCAGGTAACTCAATCCCATGCTGTCATATTTACAATTTACAGCATAACTGAAGGGAATAGATGATCTCTGCCTACAGAATCCTTCATGTCTCTCCAAAGACCATGCTCCACTCTTACGCTGTTTTTGTTTTGTTTTGTTTTACATAGCTTTGTTTTCCTGTTTCATTGCCTTAAAGGCAACACTGTTATTGAATACATGTCTAGCTTCTGGATGCCATTGTTCGTATTTGCTTGTTCTTTATCAATATCACAGAATCACAGAATCACAGAATCACAAGGTTGGAAACGACCTGCAAGATCATCCAGTCCAACCACCCTCCCATTCCTATCAGTGCCACAAGCTACTAAACCATCTCTCGTAGCTCCACATCCAGGCGCCTCTAGCAGAAAAGCTGTGTTCTTTTTGGCTCATATCATCACTGTTTTCTTTTATTGTCCACTTTCAATTTGTCATCTGATTATATCTATCTGGATTGCTGATGTCTCCTTATCTTTCAAGAGTCAAAGTGATGATATACAGTTAGTTCATTCTTATGAAATGATAGAAATATGAGTAAATACCAGGTGGGTCATTTCCTTCATTAATTTTGGCTAGGATATACATATCTTGATGGGACTGTCTGATGCTTTATTCAGACTGTATCATTTCCTAGTTTTGCATCAATCCAGGAAGAGCAAGATGTCTTTTAAAAGTGTTAGTATAATATGAAAGGGATATCTATGATAGCGGAATTGTTACTCCCTGGGCATCTTCCATTTTTGTCCTTTGCATAGGGATATATCATTTCTCAGCAAGTCAACAGCCTATAGATGTACAGGTTTTATATTTTCAGGAAAAAAAAAAAAAAAAGTGTCTTAGGTAAACTAAGGAAAACAAAACAAAACAACTGAGTTAGGGAGCTTCTCATATCCTGTCCCAGCATTATGATACCCGGTTGTAAAACTTTTTAACAAAGATCAGAGCAATTTCAGTTAGTCTCTTTAGAAAGTTACTTTGAGTAGCACTGGAGTATCAATATTTTTTACAATAGTATTTTCTTGATTACCCTTTCTCTCTAACAATTACTGTTTTTAACTGTCCAGAAGTATACTTAGGCCTTTCACTAAACACACAACATGGAGGCTACGGTTTAGACACAGCTCAGACAGTGATCCTCAGTTTCTCATCAAAGTCTGCCTAAAATGAGCTGAAAAATACTTTGACAGCACCAACATGGATCAGGCCTAATGGTCTAATGGCTTACCTAAAGTTCTTTTCTGTCTCAGTCAGTCTGTGTACTTAACAAAAGATAAACACACCTACTCATGTACAGTGATGCATTCCAAACTGAAGCTCCTGAATTGAGGGTTTCTATCATCTGCAAAGCTCAGAATGCAATCACTACTCTACTTCATTCTTCACCATAATAATTTCTTCAGTTTTCGGAATAGTAGTAAAGCTGTCTTATATTTAACTGAACTGCTATATTATTGGACAAAAGTAATTTTACATATAAATTATTTAAATTTCATCTATGATTAGCTCTACATATGAGCAATGTTTTCAGAGGACAAGTCTGTTCTTTTTCAGAAAGCTGCATGCACTAAATAAATGAATAAAGACATGGTTGTATATTTCACCACTTACACTGGGAAGCATTCCTATCAGAAAACTTGGAAATCAAAACATTCCCTGTAGTCCCTCAGTGTGCATTAAAAATAAAGACTGTAGTCATAACTTTTTTTTCAAAACATGAAATGCATTTTATGCAACAATGCCTCAGATGAGACACAAACTCAACAGAGCTTACAAATATTCGACATTAGCTCTTTTCAGAGCATTGCTACAGAGCCTTATTGGTGATTGCAGATGCACTGGTATTTTGTAAACCCAGTCTTTAGATTAAAATTCATGAAAGATATCTCACTTGCATAAATAAATCAGGGATGCAAAAATAAAGTTTAAACATCCATACACTACTACTATCATTTTGCCAAAATGACACACAGCATGACTGCAGAATTTGCTGTAATACAGTAATTGAGAAGAAAATTTGCCTTGCTATATTGCTGAGAAAGGTAAAGTATGTATCCATGGATTTAATAGCATATTAACTATTCATTGATGTCACTTTTTAGCATTACTTCTGACTCACAAATCCTATTAGAGACTTAGGCAATGTATCTCTCATTGTTAAAAAAGGGCTCTTGTCTCACAGCTAGCCAACAAAAATATTAAAGCCTATTCCCAATGTAATAGAGAAGCCAGGCTAGGCTGTATGGGAAGATACGGCAAGTCACTTTCTCTGATTTAAGCTTATATATGAAATTAATGACTGAACTCATCATACCAAACATGGCAATCCTACACTGTACATGTGGATTTAAGGATTGACACACACCCTATCTGGTTGTATATATTTAATCAGTATTGAATTTTGTTGGAGGCAGGTAGAAATTACTGATTTTATCATTTTCAGTGAAAAACTGTCCAAATACTGTAAGACCGTATTTGACTTTCTATTTGGAGGAGAATGGAGTGGGCAAGAGAGACAGGAGAAAAGAAAAAATGTGGTAACTGTGGTACTGCTGCATTTCCTTTAGAATATTTCCATTTAGAACATTTTGTGCTTATCTGCAATCAGTTATATTGCACTCAATAGCCCCACCTTAAGTCTTCATTACTGTAAACACCTCACACAGGTAAAAGTGAGATAATATTTATGAGTTATCATCACTTAGAATGACCACTGAGATATACGCTTCTTTTTGGCCAACATGATCTCATACCTACCCTCATTTGCCAGTGTTTATATGCTCAAAGAGTTTAGGACTCAGCTATCTATATACAGGCAGAGCAGCACCATGTACAGCTGTATGAAGAATTCACTACCAGTAGCTTCTGATTATTGACTACTTTGTTATGCATTCATGAATTATCTACAGACAGATTCAAATCTACTATTAGGCTGCATATCTTTAAGACATACAGACCAGCAGTCAGTAGAAATAGTAGCTAATGTACAGCAGACTGACCAGTCTAATTTATGAACAATCAGGAATAATTCACCTTAAGGCCTAGCTGTGCTCCTTTCCTTCTTGGTGACAAATTCACTTTGCAGCTTATCTTCATTAGTATCAAGACAGTAAGTATTGATAGTAAATAGTCACACAGGAAATAAGTAAAATTTAAAAACAAAATCTCTGGGTTTATTAGTATTTTTATCATTAGCTTCAGAAGAGTGCTCAAATATTTCAGTATCTGCAAGCAATAACAAACTAGTAAAAGTGTTTTTTGCCTTTTCACATGAATAAATATTTATAAGCATATTCCTCTTTATGATTCATGCAGGATATGATTCCACTAACATGTTTTGTTGATAACCTCATCGGATTCAACAGGTCATCATCTCCTGGAGTTAAATTTTAATTCCTTCTTTATGACAGCTCTTTTCTGATTCCTTCTCTAGGAAGAAGAAGGAATTCTTTGCTAGTTCAGCAAACTAGATGTGTGAGCTGTAAGACTAATCCTTGTAAGTCTGTTTAGAACAACACTGAAAGTGGGTTGTTTTAGTCTAATGTTTCAGGGTGGGGATGAGGTACTGGGGATTTTTTGTTCAGCTTTTTTGCTGCTGCTTTTTCATTAAGGACTTACCTTAAATTAGTAATTAAAAAGGAAATAAACACAAAAGCAAAACAAAAACAAAACAAAAAAGCCTGCTGAAACTCCAGAGTTAAAAATAGAGCATAGTGGAGAAGAATATAAACCTGTGCCATTCAAAACCAAGCTGCTAGGGCTGCTCACTGAAGACAGGCACCTGTTCATACACTTCTCTATCTGCAGACCATTTCATGATGGAAGTACTTGCCCTCTAGATCTGTAATATAACTAAGTTTTTGAGATTTTTCTTCTAACTGAACATGCTGCACTGTTTCTGTAAACTTGCCGACTGACATTCAAATAACTTTTATTTTCTGAAATAAATAATAAAAAATTGATAATTAACATGTGAAAGGGGTGAAGTTCTCACCTTGAGGTAGCTTGAAATTTGACAGAGAATAGTAGAGTTACAATATAGTGAAAACCCAGGTAAAAATGCACTTTTCGTAGTTGTCACATGCTGACAGATTTGTCTGACTCCTGAAGCCTAAACTTGTACTGATCTTAGGCCTGCTACTGCACCTTTTCCAGCTAATCACTCTAATCACTCTCAGTGTGTTTCAAATGCAAAACCAAACTAGATGAGCTCTAGGAATTACATAGTGTAACAATTGAGCAGAAAGAAAGACTTCCAGGAGGAGACCAAGAAGATCCATTCAGTGATTCTAAACGTGCTTGTGTCTTTTAATTGAGCAAGAGATTTTGGTCACAGGCTTCAGAACAGTTTCAGATGTCATGAATAGGTTACTGAATTACAGAGAATAACCAAAGTCTTCCATTATGTAATGTACAAATTAATTACATATGTGTTGCTATTGAAACATCAGCAGTGATACTGATTATTTTCTACTGAGATTTATAAGTGGAATTATGGTCGCTGATGGTCTAGCAAAAGATCTGTAAAAAGACACACCTTTTAGCTACTTGAAATTAAGGCCAAATGCAAAGTGCAATTTAGGAAACAGAGGATGCAGAACTGGTTACTGGAAATAACTGAATCAGATATTACCATCTCATTCCTATATATGTATGTATATATATACACACACACATATATACACAAATGCAGAACATAACAGTGGCATAATTAAATACATGTACTAAATTAATAATTAGTCAAAATATAATAATACAGTTCCTGCCCCATAATAAGTCTTCTCCAAGCACCAGCTCCAGAGGCCATCTTACCATTTTTTTTATATACAAAGACTGCAATGATGATGGATTTCTATGCATAGTCCCATGAGCTGTCTGCCTATGAACTATATCACATAAAATGATAGATGAGTATATTCAAAGCACTGAGAATAAAACGTTGCCCTCTTTTACAGCTAAGATATCCTAGAATCTGATTTTCTTTTAAAATGTGTTTCTCAAAAGAGGACTCCATAGGAGGAGGAAATAAAAAAATCAAACAAGACATCATCATTCTCCAAACTAAAATTCCTAAGTCTGAGAAGTGAACGAGTGAACAGATGTGATACGTGCAAAGAAAGCAGGGCATTTGTCTGGTATTAATGAACAGCATTCCCAATAACACTGATTCCTTCTGCAGAATACAGACATTGGGGCTTATACAGTAATGGAGGACTACTAAAATAATTGAAAACTAAAGACATACACCTTTCAGTCTGCCTTTCCTTCTGCCACTTATTTTATATTGCACGAATGAGATATTACTTTCATGTTTCCCTGAGATGTTGGTTCACTAGGGTAAAGTGAGCAGACTCAATTTCACTGAAAGTAATGTAGTGAGATTATCCAGAATTATTTCCAGTGGGCTGCATTTGTTGCATTCCTTCTGTTGTGAGAATATAAGTAAACAACTAAACACCTTTACTGAATGCTGAGAATCTTCATAGTCATCACCTCTTCCTATTTCCTTGATTAGGCCAGCATTTTAGGTTTAGCCATGCTCAATTAACTCATCCAAGTATCGGTCCAGTCAGAAACAGTTGATTTAAAAGTGAGATAAACTGGGCATCTGTTTGGAAAAAAAATGATTATCCAAAATATGTGTTTCATCATGAGAAAATGAACTGTGCTATCTCCATATTTAAAAACATATGCTTCTAAATAGATTAACTTAATTTGAAAGTCTAAGAAATAGAAAATAGTAATCACAACGTTGAAATTGAAACAAGGAGATACTAAGTTAAAATTAAGTAACCAGTGTGTTAACATTTTAATGTACTGGAACTTAAACTTGATACTGGCACCTTCATCAAATCACTTGAATTAAAGCGATTAAAACTAGCAATAAAGTCAACCACTGCAACAGTGACTGGAATGTATGGGGTGTCAATGCGTTTGCACTGGTGCTAACAAAAATACTGCTGTATTTAGTCTCTGATTTGTTTTAGAGGTCTAATCAGAGCAGACAATACTCTCAAGCTATTTTCTATTCCTATTTTCTGAGAAAATAGAGATAGCATTAGAGACACAATACTAATTAAGAGGTTGTGTTTATGGTATTGGAGAATGCATGGCAATAGATATCTTTTGCAGGTGATTAAACTGAACTTGAGGCACTGGAAAATCTCAGAAGCTGTTTTATTGCAAGACAACACCAGTGCTACAGATATTATTCCAATGATACTAGAATGTGAATCAAGATAACACTGAAAAAGTAATAGTTCATTTTGGATTTTTTTTAATCTCTGTATTTGAAAATGTTTTAGTTGCTCCAAAAGTAATACTTTCTGTTTATTTCCTTGAAAGCTACTACACATACAATGAGCACAATATCACTATCTTATAGAGCAAATTCTCAGCTATAAAACATTTTTCAACATAGCAGCAGTAACTACAGATTTTCACCATGCCTGCCATGTTGTGCCTGTAAAAATCTCCACCAGTGGAGGTGATTGTCAGTCACTTTGTGACTGCTAAGACACACCACCCACTGCCTCACTGTGCTCACATCCAGTATTTGGTCTTCATAAATATACAGCAAGCATCGATGAACGTCAATGGGCATGATTTTTTCCTAACAGAGCAATTCACCTTTGCTTTATCAGCACTTCTATGTCAGACACCATTTTGCCAGACTGTCCCTCTCCTCTGATGTCATCTGTCACACAGCATCAACATGTAATTGAATATAGGTTTGACATCTACAGCCAACATCCACCTCTGACATTGTGGGTCAACATAATAAAATAGGAGGCATTGCTTTTAGAGCAGCCCTCCTTCTTTGTAGGTTGATGTGATATTAGCTAAATAATCTGCAGCTACCAGCACAACTAAAATTTGCATTCTTAATGAGCCTCAGTCCAGCCTCAACTATATACACATACTTTAAAAGCATAGGCATATATGGGTGCAGACTGTAAGTACATTTCTACATGTAGAACCTTAGTTATTGGTTTTCCTGGAGTTCAGCTTTGAACATAAAGGAGGTGAAGGACTGACTACACAATCCAAATGAGAGCAGCAATGGAAAGTCCTATTGTACGTTTAACTATTTATAGCACTTAAAAATACCTGTTGTCAGATATAAAAGGGCATTTTATATATTTTCCCAGGATGGTCAAATCACTATTTATATCATAAAATATCTCATAATATCATCAAGTTTTAATATACCTATTAAAAATAGATAGGAGTTGACTGACTCACACACTATTCAAAATACCCATTTGCAAATAATGAAGGAAAATTTGCCAGTAATCTGCAGTAAAATATGAACAGTTCTGTAAATTCAAGTAGCACAGATGCAGCATGTGCCAATTTAGCAAATACATAAAGCCAAAAAGCTTCTAGAATCAATCCAATTTGTTCTGAAGTCACAGAAATGTTGGCGTTAGATGTAGTATAGTAATAACGTACAGCTCAGAAAAGAAAATGAGAACTAACCAATCTATCTGGAAAGCAGACATGCAGAATGGTCCTTTATGCTCCTCATGCAATCCAGATTCAGAAGAGCTACATGAAAAAAAAATTAAAAAGAAAGGATGTAATAATAGACTTACAGTAAGCCAAATAAAGTCATTTTAAAATGACTGAAGAGCAATAGCAAACGAAAAATGCCTTTGGGTACACCATCTGTTTATCCATTCCATATTATACCTTTTCATCACAATTACCTAAAGTAGTATATTTGTATTTCTGTAATGTATGGAATTCATTACATAGTTTTGCAATGAAATTATCACACTGTGGCTGGGACATCTGCACCCTGTCATATATCATTCTATTCATTTCTAGTTAATTTAATCCTAATATCTGCCTACATGACAAGACAGATGTTCAGCTATACTGTATCTTCCATAGTTTTCTGCCTTGAAGAAACTTTAAGTCACTGAAAGAAATGTCATCTTTCAAACAGACATCTTACGGGTTTGGGAAGTATGCATGTGCAGATGTGTTTGTATGTATGTGTTTGTGTTTTTAAGCCATATTCCTTTTATAAGAAGAGTGTTTTACAAAACAAAAGTCTTTTAAAGCATTTTTTAAATTTAAACATTTTTCATTTCAGACATACATCTTTTTTTTTCAAAGTGTACTTTATTAATATTTTGCCATACTTACTTATTTAATAGCATTTGGAAACATAATTTATTTATTGAATTAACTTCTAAATCTCTTGCCTTGAACAGGACAGATCTTTTTCACCATTGCTAATTAGAAGTCATGGGCTAGTCTTCCTCTTTGCCTTCTCAATCTCAACTCTCAAAATCAAATGATATTCAATTTTTAAGGCTAATAATACTGTCAGATATATCAAATGATATTCAATTTTTAAGGCTAATAATACTGTCAGACAGTGCTAACCAGAAGCATCTTACATTTTACATGTTTTGCAGTTGTTTGATTTGAATTTGCATGAACTTCTGCTGTTGGTCACTTAGTTATAGATGTAAGATAAATTTGTAGCATATCTATGTGGGAAAAGTAATGACCACATTGTGAACTACTTGCTTCTAACCACTCTTGCCACAGTGTTCTTCAAGTAGAGCTTTCAAGGCTGTCAAAGAGCTTATTCTGCTTTCCCTGTACAGCACAGATTGCAGACAGAAGGACTTCAGACTTTGATACCTATTCAGCAATCAGCTCCCCATTCACCATTCCAATCTTAACACGGACACAGTAAATTCCTTCAGGCACCACAGCAGCTAACCAGTAACAGTAGAGCATTACTTAGAATTGTACTTAGTTTTCCTCATTTTGATGTAACTGAAGTCATGTTTGTGACTTTACGGTTTAAGGATTTACAACTGTCAGGCAAATCCTTTTTCCAGCTACACTTCCATAAAGAATACTGGCATTGAGCATCTTCATTTTCAAGCACACATTCTTCTGTGATAAACAAAATGTATTCTACTTGTCTGCCCTGCAAAACATAAATATCTCTTCAACCAGTATCATAGTAAAATAGTGCTTTCATCATGAAAGCACGAGTGACAATTTTAGCATTTAACAGAAGATACAGTAGAACTCAAAGCCGTTACACTGCTCAGTGCAATCCAAAATACTATTCTGCTCTATGAGTAAGACTAGAACACCAGGTTCTTTGACAGGTCAATACTACATTCTGGCTGCTTAGGCTGTTCCCTCAAATCCCTGTGTTCTCCCTGTTAACTGGGTAAGTATTTGTAGTATTTGAGCTCAGGTGTATGCAGTGCACCTGAGTGACTGGAAGGGGTGGAGCCAGGATCCATCCCTTCCCAAACCTCATTTAAGGGTTGGCAGTGAAGGTAAAGAATATCTCTCTGGAGACTTTTTGAAGGTAAGCAATTTTTCTTCATTTGTTTCTCTATCTGTGGTTATTGTTGTTGGGCTTGTTCTCATTTGTTGTAGCCTGGGATTGTGCTCTTCTTCTATTATCACTGTACCTTTCCTTACATTATAGCATTACAGTATTACAGCTATTATTTGACAGCATTTCACTACCCAACAGGCTAAAAGCATGGTTGTGGTTACAGTCCCACACATTGGGTAGAATAGGTGTAAATGAACTTCACAGCTTAGACAAAATGGTATTTGCTGTGTACTTACAGGGTTACTTCTATATTAACTATTTTCCAACACCACTGAAGAATATGTAAGTTTAAATTCTATGCCTGTAAGCTGCCAGATAAGCCCCAAGCAAATTATGTGCAGCTGTTGGATTGGATAACAGTAATAGATAACACAATAGACCTCCAGATAAAAAATAAATATGAACTGGCTTAAGTGTGTTAAGTGTCCAAAAATGACAAAAGACTTTCAAATTGTTTCTCTGATGTAGAGAGTGAAATAGTTCAGTTAGCTTATAAGCAGGTTGAGCAATAAAGGGACTCTGGGAAAAAGTTCTGAAATTGCTTCTAGCTTTTTTTTTTTTTTTTTTTTTTTTTTTTTTTTTTAAATAATTTTTATTTACTCGTGTTCTTGGATTATGAAATTCCTATTTTAAAAAATTCCTTTTGAGCCAATTTAAACCAGGAACAGCCTGAACAAAGGTATCAGGCCAGGGATCATCTAACATTTGTTGCCATCTCTTTTTTTTTTTATTGAAATGTTAACATCCGTGTGCTCTATAAATCAGTAGAAGCTATTTCTCCCAGCTTCAAAATCCAAATTTATTGCTTGCTACATGTTTTGGTGCTGCTGTAATATTATTTCCAAAGCTTCATATAAAAAAAAAAAATAATAATCTTATGTACGTTTACAGGCATATATATGTATGCATAAGCTGACAATGTGTTTCATACCTGTAACAAAGCAAAGAACCAACACCTCTGCTGGACTGGTCATTAATTATCATTAGCGAGTAATACAGCGTGTGACATTTGCCAACAGCTATTAGTTGTGTCTATTCCCATGTGCTTAGAAAAAGAAGAAATAACTGTGGTGTATTCCAGGAAATACATGAAGTTCTGATTCTGTGGCAAAAGACCTTCAGCTTTTCAGTAGTCACCACTACCGGTCAGGTGGCAATAATACAGCTTTAGTAACTGCTTTAGTGAAATGTTGCTGTCACCAAAAATCTCAGCAGCCAAGGACAAGTATAAACAGCAGCCTTTTTCACACTAAAAAATAAAGTGCAGTAGAATGACTATCAGGAATTAAGCCAAATTCTAGCACAGGATTCCTAATACATCTGAGAGGTTTTAGATTTCTAATACGAACTTAAGGTTGGCAATAGGCCTAGCTCCCTTGTGATATGAAACAGTAGCACAAGCCCTGGGACATTTTTGTTCTGTAGGATTATTTGTCTAGTTAAATATGTTTAGATAGGATATTTGCGTTTTTTCTTTTTTTTCTTTTTTTCCCATAAGAAATAAAATATAAAAATATAATCTAAAACTAGTAAAGGAATGAGAACTCCTATTTAAGGCTGGTTCTCAAGATTTCCAGAATGGATCCTTGGGGATAGTTGGTCTGTTTCCTGACAACATGTAACAAGGTTGTTCAATTAGAAACATATGTACATGAATGAAAAGTGAGATATAACTGGAGTGAACAAAGAGATGGTCAAATCAAGACATCAAGTGGGATATTAAATTACTGAGACAGTGAATTTACAAAAAGGTTAGACAAAATAGGTAATGTTGAAAGAAAACGCCTGCAGAAAGACCTCAGAAAAATAAGCATTCAAGTTTCTTAGACTGGATGGCTTACTTTATAGATATGATCATAAATACTGAATAGAATTAATGATTTTTTTTTCTCTCACTATTTTAAGAATCTCTAAGTATTATAGAAAGTATAATTTCATTTATATTTATCTTGCTGTACTCTTTGGGTCTGGCTATTGAGCAGCTGCCTCCTGAACCTCTATAAGATATGTTATAGAACTGTGCATTCAGTAATATTTGTCAGTTGTCTTTATTCAAACTACTTTTTGGCAATGGTGCAGGCTTTGGGCTTCAGTGACTGTCAAAATACTGTTACCACAGACAGCAATGTTTTTAATAGTTAATCAAATCTTCCAAGTTACAGTGAGACACAAAGATCCTTTATGCTCCAATAGAAAAAACTCAGAGTTGAATGATCACATATTATTACCTTTTTCTTTGTTCTGGTATTAGAAAGGGTATGAATAATACTTGCAATTGCAACTTCTTGATTCTTTAAAGAAGAGAAAGGGATTATTGATGCCAGTTCTGAAAGACAACAAAAGGCTGTTTTTGTTTTTTGTTTTTACAGAAGTTTTAAATACTATTATGCTTTTTTTCAAGCTTAAATTGTACACACTTCACCTGAAAAAGAAAACTATAAGTCAAACTCCCAAAATTCAATTCCTGAGCCTCATATCAACTTGGTGTGCCATCTGAGAAAAATTTCACAGTCACACTCACATTGTCTAATGGTTGTGTTCTTATATTATTCAAGATCCTTAGAATCAAGCTTTCAAGGCACAAACTTGCAGTTATTTATAAGCAGCTTGCCAGATCAGACAAATACGCAGAATCACAAGAGCACCTTTTACCTACATGCAAATTATTATGCTTACAAAGTTGGGTATCAACAAATAAACCTGTCAGTTTTGGGCATTATAACACGAAGATATTGTACATTTTCTCAAAAAAGGAGAGAGAGTGAGGATTGTAGCTTGGACTTTAGTCTTGTCAAGCCTTACTTAATGTTTTAACAGCATATATTTATAAACTTTATTGGACAATAAACAGAGACTTTAGAGGTTTCTGAAGCTCAAGAAGAGCTTGGTTGGCCAGCTCTCTTATTGTATATGCTGGCAACTCCAGGGAACATTGAGATAAAGGTGAGTTTCTATATTTTAATGATAGCCTCTAGTTCTGAGAATGACATGCATTACTTGTTTGTACTTTGGGCACTGTCCAGTATCTCCCACATAATTATGTACACAAAAACTTTTCTTAATGCTTGGCCCTCAGCAATCACGGTCAAGTGGATGCAGCAATGCTTCTCAGACCCTATTTTCTGTAGAAGAATACCAAAATTTGCTTAAAATTTTGCTTGAGAACTTTGGAAATAGATGCATACATATGAAAAGGACGAAACTACTTGTCACTGTTCTGTTGAGTTCGGAAAGACTAGTAAACACCTGGACACTAAGGTTTAAAAATGTGATTAAAATTTAAAATAAATAAATAAAATTAGAACTTTATAAACCAGGCAGATAAAGAGACTTTTGTCACTTAAGTTTCTCAAAGGAGTTTTCTCGGAAATACTTAGGTTTATTGCAGCAGGAAACCTGGAGTACGAAATACAGCAATTATGTGAAGTCCTAGCCTTTAAATAGTATACATGGCATACTTGATTTAGCATGGTTTTGCTATCTGGGGGGAGTCATTGTACAATAAGTTGCTGAATTCTCTATACTAATTCTTTGCAGAAAACCTTAGCTTTTAGTATTTATTTTATTAGTCCTGTTCAAAACAATAACTTATGTAATTAGATGTTATTCTAGATATTAAGTTGCAGAACTGGACCCTTAATCCTGGCTCCATGAAAGCTTCATTTACCACCTTTCCAATTCATTTAACTCCTTCCACATTTCATATGCTTAGCTGACTGACTAGACAATCTTTGGTCACTTATGTCCTGCAGGTGTCTGTGCTAGTGAGTAGCTTTAAAATGTTGATGTTTCCATCCTGGGAACATGCAGGATTTTTTTTCCCCATTTGATTTTTAATATTATTTTTAATATTTAAGTCATTAGGGAACTCTGAAGGCATCAATTTGTTGCTTCAATAGCACGAGGTAGTTGCTAAATTTATTTGGTTTATACATGGTGATTAAAGGAGAATGATTCTTCTTTTTTTCCTGCCCTTTGAGGGAGCTTATGGTGTTATGGGCGACATGTCAGCAATAATTAAGAAATATCCTGGTACAAATCCCAAAAGATACATATTTTTACAAATAATTCCCCATGGAAAAACTTTAAAAATGATGCACTTGTTCTGAAAAATGCTTCAAGCCTTCTCTAAATAGATTATATTGCTGGGTTATTTAAGAGTGCGTGACTTGAGGTGCACATTTTGCTTGTAACTCATAAAACCACAGTACAGTTAATCAAGGGGAAAAGCAGGAATAATGTTCAGTGAGCTCCTATGTCTCACAAAGCCATTCTCATCCAGCCAATAACACAGCTTCTTGTTTTATTCAATTGTAATAGGAAGAAAGTAAGAGTTTCTTCAGCCAAGACCAAAAACGCCTTTTGTTGGCTTCGCACTTTTCTTTTAAAACACAACTTTCCCTTGTAGGCTTTCCCATCCAATCTGGACTCCAGGGATTGAATTTCTTTGTCTCTTTTGAGGGTAGTCTTTTAGAATAATGTATTTCAAATACTGCCCAGTGCGGTAAGCCTTCTGCTGTGTGTTTTACAGTTCAATTTTCCTAGCAACTGCATAGAATAATCAGCACTTAAAGAGTATCAACTATAGCTGCAGTCCTTATAATGATAATCTGTTGAATAAAAGATGTTTTCATCTTTTTCTGCCATAATCTTTGCCTAATTTTAAAAAACTGAACAGCAAATCTTAAAATTGTTCTTCAAAATTGAAACAGCTTACCTTGTTCCATCTTCTGCTTAGGAGGCAGTGAAAGGAGCAGGAGGAAGGGAAGGCAAAAAAACCCAAGTATATTTTGAGGAGAAACCAGAACAGAAAAAAATAAGAGATAAGGATTGTAAGAGAAAAGCATAGGTTTTCTAGTTATTGTCTTTTTTTAAACTTATGAATTGAAACTTTCTTTAATGCCCACCACCTATTGGTTCTGAACAGTCATATTTCTGCTGCATATATGAACTCAAATTTTTAGATACAAGGTTGATTCAAGAACTAAACTTTTTGTCCTTCAGGCATTGGAAATCAGGGCACATAACAGAGTATTCACATGAGGTTTCTCCTAAGGGACATGCATTTGACACACTACATTTTGGTGCTATTTTCAGGTCTGTCATAGAATTGGACAAAACACTGTGCATGGTTAGGAGATACAAGTCATAAAATAACAGTGCAATCAACTGTCATTATATGCCATGTTTTTCTGATTAATATTTGACTATCCATGAACAGCAAGAGCTCAAACAGCTGAGCGCATCCAGCATACAGGAATTGCCTTTGCCCCTCACCCCATCAAAACTAATAATAATTAATCTCCCGTGCTCAACAGATTATTTTTTTTTTTGTCTACTATTAGAAGATAGCTAAATATGAAGTCTGGAACACTGCTATCACTGGAAAATGACTGAAGTGTTAGAGACAGTACATACCAATAGCTTCATATAGATGTACAAACAATTGAGTAGCATTTCAGTTCTCTTAAAGATGAGACAGAAGTCTTTCTTTAGAAAGCAGCTATTGGTTCTGCTATTCAGAAGAATGAGGTTTCTACAGGAAGGAAGTCCTCCTGCAGGAGGTAGGTCTCTTGGGTGTTGGTTTTTTTGTTTGTTTGTTTGTTTTTTGTTTTTTGGTTTTTTTGCACAAGGTTAAGAGAGAGAAACATTTTCCTCCAGAGAGACAGAAGCAGCAGTAGAGTCTTGTGGACACAGCAGCATTCCTGACATTTACATCCCTTATTCTATTGACATCTGTATCTGTAATCCACCTCTGATCCATCTCTCAGATTGCAAATCCTTCCTTACACGTTCAACAGAGTGTAAGCTACAGAAGGCAGTACATTCAAGTCAGGCAGGATGAGAAAATCACATCTCAGGTTCCCTGTATCTTGCCTATACATGCCTTATCTTCCTCATAATGTTTTTCTTTCTGGTTTTGTTTTTGGGGGCTTCCTTTAATTTGAACAGGAATCTATATATGTCCATCCTCTTGTACAGGTACAGATTCTCTTGTCCTGCAAAAGACCCTTTAAAACACCAAAGCAAAGCTGCTTCAACACTTCATTCAGAAGAGCAGGGATTCAAGCATCTGGCTAATGCTTTTTTCTGCTATTGATCTTTCCACTGACTTCCACTCTCAATTCCAGCCAGTGAAATTATGACCCAGTAACTTAAACCAAGCTGCTGGTTCAGAGAATCAGACTGGAATTTTAGTCTGTGCTACTCACTTAGCATAGGTATAACTTAGATGCGTAGTTATGACTTAGGATTAGTACTTAAAGGCATATAGCAATCAGAAAGGGACATCAAGTAGACGGGAACTTATTCAGCATGCTGAAATACAGTGAATGTTACATGTCAGCAGTTGTCTTCAGTAGGATCTCATGAAAATTGACCCCTTTCCTAGATTCAGTAGCAAAATCAGTGCAGGAAATGCAATGACAAATCCTTCGGATATAGTAATTACTACACTTCCTTAAAACAAAACAAAAACAAACTTACATTTAAAACAAAGCAAACTAAAACAATTGTTGTAATGATATATCCCCTATAAAAAAAAAAAAAGCTTATTTTTAAAATTAAAGAAGCAACATTAAGATTCAAAAAAGATTATAACGTTATAGTGGTGTTCTGAATCTTCACCTGGAGTCTTACATTTTTTTTTTTTTTTTTTTTTTCCTCAGATCTAGGTTGTGTTGTTTTTTTTGTTGTTAGGTTTTTTGTTTTGTTTTGTTTTTTGTTTTTGGTTCGTGAAGAAATGGAGACATGAAAATGACATTTTTAGCCAGTAACTCATACATTTAGATTTCTGGGTTTAGGTTTTGGAAAAAATGCACCTAGTTGTTTTCTTATTACAATACTGCTGGTTTTGTTCACCGGGCCATGTTTTTCTTGGAATGTGGTAACATGGAACGTTTTAAATTATGGGCTCTACTTTTTACTATCCAATGTCTACTAAATAAGTCCATCATCTAATTCTAAATTGGTGAAGCAGCAAACTTATGCCTGTAGCCAGCAATACATATATTTTTCACTCCAGAGAAAAGTCTCTCTGTTCTAAATTTACTGAAGAGAGTTTCACAGACAAAAGAAAGGCTCTTTGCCAAACCTAGCTTTGCTTCTTTATAATAATACTTTGTCTCTTCAAATACCCTAACAAAATACTGTAAACTACGGCAAAGTTTCCATCAAGGCTATAATCAATAATAGCAGTTGCTAAGCTTCAGCTGACATAACATCAGAACCTTTTGCATACAAGTGTTTAAATGAAACAATGGAACAAATGAAGGCATTAGATTGGATGTAA